CCAAAAAAAAGAATGATATTAATGGAAGAGTCCCAGATGTATATTAATAGAGTTTTGAATTTAATTTCTTAGTTTGTGTTTGGAGATAAGTCAGTAGAATATGTAATTGATAAGTAAATATCATAATGAATTTAGACAAGAAAAGCGTCTTAAGGATATTTAATTACCAATAAATAATAAATTATTGTGCTTAGAATGGGATATTCTGCTACTCCTGAAAAATATGATACATTAAAAGGAAATAATAAATATCTTTTGGAATAAAAATGCTGCTAATATTCCAAGTGCTTGAGGGAATAAGGAATGAACTAAAATTGCTGTTGAAGATTAAACTTGTGTAAGCTGGATAATTAAATGAAATACTGTAAGTTGTCATAAATAAATTAAATTAAATTAACATTTTCATTTCTTACATAGATGCTTGTAATAGTTTAAATTTTATACACTTTCATGAAATAAAGTATCCATGTAAATTTAACAAGTTCAAGGATTTACCCATGTAAGTGTAACAAGTGCAGCAAATTACAATTTGTATCTGGAACAAACTCTATGCTAATTATAAGTTTAATACTAATATGATAATGTGTATTTTTTATTAATTAAATCGATTTAAATAAGATTAACTCTATTATTCAGCTCTCTATCAATTAATTTAGGATTTTTTAAACAATATGCATATATTTCAGGAACTTTTACTGTTTGTGTTGATGTAGTTGCTGCCCTGTTGTTGTTACTTTTGTGACCTGCTATCAAACTTTTGCTCCTTGTAATTCTATTGCATCAACAACATTGAAATCAGAATGTGATTTAGGATCATATCAGCTGGAAGTATTTATTTTTCTCTTTTTACTTTTAAATTATAATGCTTTCTATGCTAAAATAGCATATATAAAAATAAGAGCAGATATTTCTATGCTGATTGTGCTTTAATAGTAATTTTAGGATGTAAAACTAAACTGGAGTTATTTATGCAGCAAGAACAGCTTATACAGCTGCTATTTTCTGCAATGGTTTCAAAAATACATTTGGGAATGATTGTACTGCCGATGATAATGCTGATACTACTTGTGGATGGACAGATTGTGATGATGATTCCATAATTTGCTCCAATTTTATAGCATTAATTTTTTCCTCCAATTCTCTAATAAAGTGTCGTATGTTAAAATTAATTTTGATTGTGTTCATGCTTTCGATCCAGCATATCTCAGTCATATAATTTTATTTCCTTTTCAACAGAAATAAATATAGTCTTGTATGTTTTCTCTTAGCTTTGCATCCTCTTTTCCTATTTTATTTCTATGAATATGATACTACATTTTAGATGAGCTTCTAAAAAAGACAATATAGCCAATCTGTCTTAGATATGGGCAAACATATCTTATCAAATTATTCATTGTATTCATCTTGTTTTTTTGAATTAGCCTCATAATCAATTTCATTCATTTCTTATAGCATCATTATTAATACTATTTTAAACAGTTTTCAGGTTCTCTGTGTAAGGGATTATTAGAAATTGGCATTACAATCATATAAGAAATAAATCCTTTGACTTCCTTCTTCATTTTCTTAAGTATCATCTCCATCAAAATAAATTATTAGGGATACTTTTAGATTTATCATTTAAACCAATCAAGATCAGAATTAATATTAATGTTCTAACCAAATTAATAATTGTTCATGTTTAATTTTATAACTTTAGAATGGCTATGGCTATATATTTTTAAATAATTCAATAATTTAACATTTAA